TTTTCCTTTTAAAAAAATTTTTTTTTTTTTTTTCAGTTGAAAAAATTCAACAAGTCGATCAACAAGGGGGAAAAAAAGTGTTTTTTTTTTTTTTTTTGATTGAAAATGATTTTGCTGTAAACACAAACAAACAAACATAAAAAACACATTCGATTTGATCATAATCGAATAATTTGAATCGATAACCAACCATCATCAAGTAATTGATAAAAATCAATCCGTTGAATATTGTCAATTCGCCAAAAATCAAAAAAAATAACCATGGTTATTGATAAATACGCACAAAACAAACCTGTACACACACACACACATTGATTGATATATGGAAAATGTTTGTATTTTGAAAGATTAAAAAAAAATCAAGGAATTATTTATAACCAAACAAACAAACAAACATGAATCGTCAATAATACGATGATGATAATAATGATGATGATTTTCATTTTCAAAACAAAACAAAAAAAATTATTATTGTAATTAGAGGGATATTATTGTATGAATGAATGAATGAATGTTTATTATTGGATTTCTTTTTGGTTTTTGTTTTTTTGGTTTTTGGTTTTTTGGTTTTTGTTTTGGTTTTTTTCGCTTTTGTCTATCGAAATGAATTTAAATATGAATATTGTATGCATGCATGTAATTAGTAAACTTTTGTATTGTTTTTTTTTTGGGTTTGTGTTTGAATTTAAATATTTTGAATTTGAATTTTGAATTTTAAAATTTTAAAACAAATGAATGTAATGGTTGTAATGATTAAATTATCATTCATGTAATTGGTTGATGATGATGATGTATAGGATTTTAAACCGTTCGGGTTGAAATTTCGGGTAATTTTTCGGGTAAATACCCGAAAAACATATATTGGCCTCGAACCACAAAAGAAAATCTTTTGGGCAAATTTGAAAAGTTTTTTCAAGTTTTTTTAAACTTTCTTTTCAAAAAATTTTTCCCGAAAAAAATAATGTCTAAATTTAGAAACAAAAATTCTACATTCAAAAATGCTGATAATTCCTTTTTTGTGTTTTGTTTTCTGAACTAATAATATTTCTCCATTGACCAGAGAAAGGAAAGCGAAACCAACAACCAGAAAGCAAACCAACAACCAGAAAGAAACCAGAAGAAAAAAAAACGGTTAACTAATTAATTAACATTTTTTTCTTTCTTTCGTTTAATTATTCGCATAGATCTTATCTCATTAAGGAAAAGCAAATCTTCATATTTTTTCTGTGTGTGTTAATTACACACAGACAGAGTGAACACGCACAAATAACACGAGCTATATGGAACAGCAAAGAAAATTTGGGAAAATTTTTTCCGTTCTGTTTCTGATTTGCTTCAATTAATAAAACAAAAATGAACAAAAAAAATTTCTTTTTTTTTCACCCTTCGAGAGATTGACAGGTAAATATTTTCACACGCACACCTATATCATTCATTTCCTAGAACGTGTGTTATCTTTATGGACCAAAACGAAAAAAAATTTGGTTCAATCTGAATCTGAAACTGAATAAATCAAAGTAATTTTTTACTGAAAAAAAGTGAAAATTTGAAAACAGAAAAAAAAATCATAAAACGGGGTAATCCTTTGAACCGAAAAATTTCAACCAAACAAACAAACGAATACCGGCACTTTGTAACTAAATTTATCGACAAAACAGCAAAATTACTGTAATGATGACTGACTGACTGATTCTGGCTATCTGGTCTAATCATCCCTAAAACAAAATGGTTGATCCATAATTGTCAATTATTTTCATGTCATCAATAACATCATCTGAAGCAAAAGTCTACTGCTTTTGTTGTTTATTTAGACGTCTAATGAGTACAAAAAAGATTCACCCAAAAAAAATTGAATTATATCCGAACTTAGGGCTTAAAAATAGTTTGAAATAGTTCTCCTTTCTACTTTTGCTCTCTTTTTTTTTCTTTCACTGCTAAACAAATGCAAATATGATGATCATCATATGCAGACAAACAAAAAAAATATCAACAAAAAAATAATAATAATCCTGGGTGAAACAAAAGGAGAACACCAGCAACAAATTAAAACAAAAGTTAAAAACCGTTTGGATCAACCAGAAAGAACAAGAAAAAAAAGAGAGTCGTTTTTTTCGGGCAAATGAACAACGAACAGTTTTTTGGTTTTAGAGATTAAACTAAATGATAAATGGATTGGTTGGTTGGTGTATATAGAGGTGGACAAGATATTTTTCATTTCTTTTCTTTCTTTGATCATTTATCATCATGCATGGTCCGGATTCAATCATCAAGTCAAAAGTCATTCAAGAAAAAAGAAAAATTTGGTTCATTTTTTGAAGACTTGATTCAATCAAAGCAACAGATGTTTGAACAGAAAGAAAATTTTTTTTCTTTGGCCATTCAAACATGTGTGATCGTCATCGATCAACATTAATAATATTTGATCCAAAATTACTAACAACAAAACAGCAAACAAAAATAAAAATAAAAACTTTAAATACAACTGCTAAAAATTTTGTAAAAAACAATATTACAACCAAATCATTTACAACAGATGATAAAATTCATTATAAATTAAATCAACAATCATCATCATCAACGATGACAACTGTAATTACATCATCAACGACGACAACAACAACGACAACGTCATCTTCATCTTCGTCATCATCATCAAATTCTTTCATAAAATCATCATCATCATCAAGTATAAATTCTTCGGATAATGATAATGATATAACAACATCAACGTCATCGTCATCAAGTACCTGTAGTTTGTCGAAAGAAATCAACGAACATCAACAATTATCAAATGAAATTGTTATCATTAATAAAGCATTGATTGCTGCCAAAGAAGGAAATCTAAAATTATTACAGGTAAGCTTCGGATCATTCAACTCTTTTTTTTTTGTTTGAATTTTGTTTGGTTGAACATCATTGCTATGATATGGGGAAAAACCAAAAAACTTTTTTCAATTTTTGATTCAAAACAATAGATGGCGATATGTGTTTCGCAAAAATTAATTTTTTTCAAATTTTTTTTTTAAACCATCCATTTTCCAATATGAATCTAAAGTCAATGAAAAATGTATTAGAAAATTCTCATCATATTGAAGAAGAATTTTTAGCAAATCTAATACATTATGCAACACGTAATGGTGATATAAAAATATTAAATTTTTTAATCATAAAATGTGGTATTAATCCATTATTACGATCAAATGATTTGAATGGTTATCTACCGACACATGAAGCTGCATCATTAGGTAATGTTGAAACATTAGAATGGCTGTTAAAAATGACCAATTTATCATTAATGGATCGTGATTATTATGGCCATACATATCTACATATTGCGGCAAGGTAAGCAAGTTAAAGAGAAAATCAATCAATCAATCAATCAAATAAACAAAAATGATTTCAACCAAAAAACAAACATATTATTATCATGTTCATAGAAATGGTCAAAATTTCATCATTTTGATTGACCATTATTATTATCATTGTATTTTTTCAATACAAAAATATCGTGATCTATAAACTTTAAACTCATTTTGGTTGTGAAAAAAAATCCATATAGATCCTATAGGAGAAAAATGTTCCGATATTTTTAGAATAACCAAAATAACACAGAGATAAAATCCTGACCAAAAATATCAATCAACAAAAAACAAAATTTCTCTTTCAATTTCAATTGTTTTTTTCGGTAAACTTTTCATTATAGATAATCAAATTTTTTGTAACAGAGAAAGACAGAGAAAAGAAAGTTTTTCTCCCATATAACACTGCAATCACCAAGTTTTTGTTTGGTGGTGGTGTTATGGTGGATCTTTTGTTTTCGAGGAAAATTTTCTCCATTTTTTTCAATCAAATTTTCTCTCTTTCTTTTCAAACCAAAAAAAAAAGTATCCATCCATGTTTCAAAATTGATCAGATAGATCAGATAGGTTGTAATCATCATCATCATCTTGTAATTAGAAAAAGATTTAATTACTTGGACGTTTTTCGTTTCTAGATCAGCTTTTAGATGAATTTTTGTTCTTTGTTGTTTTTTGATTAATGTTTTCTATGTTTTTCGGTCGAATCAATTGTTTTAACCGAAAAAAAAACGTTTTTTTCCATTTTTTCACATGAAATTCAATCAAATCTAATGCAATCCATCATCATCATCATCATTGACAACAATGCTGTTTGAACGTCATCATCATCGAAAATATCAACAACAACCGAATGAAAAAATGAAAAGAAATGGCCATTCAACAGTAATTCGATGGTTATTGAATGATGCAAAAATGTCCACAATGGATCATAATAAAATGAATGCATTAGCATTACATTATGCATCAGCTAAAGGTTGTTTAGAATGTGTAAAATTATTAATTCAATCATCTGATCAAAAGGATTTAAGGTAAGTAGATTTTTGATTGTTGGTTTTTGATCCTTGTTGATCACGAAATAACGACTATAATGAATTTTTCAATTTAAAAAAAAACCAGCGCAAATGCACAAATGGAAAACAATGTTACACCGGTATATTTGGCTGCACAGGAAGGTCATCTTTCGATATTAAAATATTTGATTAATGTTGGTGGTGGTTCATTATTGATTCCAGCTAAAGATGGTATGTTACCATTACATGCATCATCACAAATGGGACAATTTGATTGTATCAAATGGATGATTGAAGAACAAAAAATTGATCCAAATATTCGTGATAATGATGGTGCAACGGCCATACATTTTGCCGCTAGTCGTGGACATTTTAATATAATAAAATATTTATTGGAAAATAATGCTAGATTGATTTATGATAAATATGGGAAAAGTCCATTGAATGATGCAGCTGAAAATGAACATGTTGAAGTAAGTGGTTTGTGTTAATAAAAATCCATCATTATCATTTGCATATATGAACAATAAAAGAATCAAAAAAAAGGAGGAAAAAAAGATCGAAAATAAACAATTCATTTTGATTGTTTTTTTCTCCATTAATTATTTTCCTTAATTAATTAATTAAATAGATAAATCAACATTTACGATCTATAATTACGATCTAGTTTTAATTCAATTTTAATCTGAAATTTTGATGACATTATTCACCGAATAGATTAGATAAATAATGTGATTTTTAATGATTTTAATTTTATTATTTTATTTTTAATTACATTTCACCTTTTCTATTTTTTAATTACAACCCAAGTGTCTAAAATTATTAATTTCATATGGTTGTAAATTAAATCCAATCGCAACAACAACTTTACCATCATCATCATCATCGACTATATCGACAACAATGACTTGTCCATGTAATAATAGTAATGATCAAACAACCGGAATAATTCGATCATCAAGTTGTTCGACGTTTAATGAATCTTCTTCATCTTCATCAACTTTGAATAATCAACAACAAACATTTATAAAACGTAAATCTAAATATAAAACATATTTTCCTGAACATAACACCGATAATAAATGTGATAATCATCATCATCATCATTATTTGGAATTAAAATATCCATCTGGACGACAACAACAACAACAACAACAACAATCTGCTCAATGTCGTGAATGTATCCATAATAATGATAATGATGAAAGATATGTTGCTTGTTGTTGTGGTTGTCGTTGTTGTTGTTGTTGTTCATCGTTGAATGTTGATGTTACCGAAGAAATACAATGTCCAACCAAATCAACAATATTATCCGATCATTTAATAAAAAATGTTTCTAATCATCATCACCATCATGGACGGCATCATCATCATAATCATCATCAATGTACAAAAAGTTTATCGAAAAAAATCATTACAGAAAAACGGAAATTATGTCGAAATAGTAAACATAATAAAATGAAGATTGGTAATAAAAAAATTTAATATTTTTTTTTCTTCTAAATATTTATTTATTTTTTTTAAACAAATAGTTTCAGCAGAAATTCATTCAGGCAATATTAGTCCCGTTAGTACGGATGTTTGTTGTAGTACAACAAGCAGCAGCAGCAGTACCGATGAAGGAATCTATCAAGAAGTTGATGATGATGATGATCAAACAATCAATGAAGAAATGATAATAATCAAAAATAATAATGATAAAGAATCTGGTAAATATCAAACAATCAAATCAGAAAAGATATCATCATCATCATCATCATCGATTCCAATTCCACCGCCACCACCTCCACCTGATTTTATGAATTTATCATCATCCTTGGCAACAAAATTACCAAAAGAAAATCAACAACAACAGCAAACACGTTATATTAAAAATACAAATAATGGCAGTAATGGTAGAAAAACTTTAATCGGAAAACAACAACCATTATTTATACCACCACAATTTAATGGACCACCAACAAATAATTCAAATATTAAACCATCAGAATATTTAAAACGTATGGCAACAAAATCATTATCATCATCTTGTAGTTCAAATTCAAGTTCAAGTAACAGTAATAAATATGGTTATATTAATGATGTTGGATTTTTCACTAATAACAACAATAATAATAATAATTCAAATATGCAACGAAGTTCATCGGAAAATCATTTGTTGGCCAATATAAATCGTAATAAATATGATTTTATTAATCGTGATTGTATCGATAGTAGTGATGATCGAATCGAATCTGAATCTGTTAATAATGATATTTATTCATCCGAAACAAATGATGATGATTATTATTATGAAACAACAACAAATAATGATGATAATGAGGAAAAATCAAATATGAATAAATCATCATCATTCAATAATCAAAATCAATCGAATGATTTAACGGGTAAAACGATTACCGGCTTTTCTAATCCAACATATTCAACAACAACAACAACGATAACGAATGATCAATTGAAAAATATTAAGCTTAAATCGACGACAACACCTGTACAGAACAATAATAATAATAATAATAATCCACAGGATCAATGTAAAAATGATCTAATTGAAGAATTAAAAATGGCTAAAAATTTGGATGGTATTAAAAAAGTAAAACAATCTCATCGAAATTATAATGAAGTAAGTTTTGGATTTTTTGCTTTGTTGATTGGTTTTCTTTTCCTTCCTGATAATGATGATGATGGAAAACAAAGAAAAATCTGCCTGAAACATGAAACACTGATTTTCTAATTAATAATTTCGTGTTTTTTTTCTAATTTTCCTTTCTTTATTTCAATCATGATGATGCACGAAAAAAAATCAGGTCAAAAATAAGATGGCTTTGTTGGCACAAAATTTTACTGTTGATGAATTTTTAAAAACAATACCGGAAAAAGATCCAAAAGGTAATGAAATTCCACAATGGAAACGATATATGTTGGCAAAAAAATCGGCTGAAAAAGCTAAAAAAGATGCTGAAGATTTGATACGTAAAGAATTTGAAGAAAAATTATCACGTCAAATACCTGAATGGAAAAAACAATTATTGAAAAAAGATAATGATTTATCCAATCAATCAATGAATATTAATCAAAATCAATTACAACAAAACAATGGCAACAATTATATCAGGTAAAAATATTTTATTTCGGGATAATTCAAGGATTTTTTTTTGTTATTTTCCGAATAGAATCAATTCTAAAGTTCAGCTGAATAATAATAATAATGATCATCATCAACATTTATCGAGACAACATTCACAACAACAACAAACAACAGGACAATCGAATAATCGGAATAATCAACTTCAATCATCATCATCATCAACAACAAACAATGATAATAATTTGAATATATTTAATTTTCGTTTAAGAAAAACAAATTCAATTTATTGGTAAACATTATTGGAAATTTTCGCAAATATTTTTATTATTATTTTTTTTGGAAATAAAATGAGCTGAACTTTCATTTTCATTTATATAAAATTTTGAATTTGTTTTTTTCTTTCTTCAAAAAAAAAATTTGTGTGCTTGTTGTTTGAGCATCAATATATATAGGCTCATAAAAGACCAACAGAAAAAAAATGAAGGGGGAAAGCGAAATTATGGATAATGAATGAAATGAATGAATGTTCTATAGATAAACTTACTTTAAAATATGTATAAGATGTGTGTTTGTTTGTTTGTCTGTGTGTGTATTTCATAAAGATCTGATAAGGCTTTTTTTTCATTTGTAACATCGTTATATATAATAATTATAACAAAACCTTTTTTTTACAAAAAAAAATCATCAAACATCATTACAAACATTATTGCAATGATAATATTGCACGAATGTTTTTTCTTCTTCTTTTTGATTATAAATATTGCGGTTATTAGTTGCTGGTTTGGTTAAAATTATTCACAATTAAAAACATATCATCTTGTTTATAATCAGTGTGTGTGAGTGTGTGTGGTGAACAAAAATTCAAGTTTTTCTTTTTTTTTGTTTGATAAAATATTTGATGACACTAATATATGAAGAAAATTGAATTGAATTTGATTGAAACAAAAAGTCTTTTTGGTTTGTCAATGATAATAATAATGAGGATGATGAGAAGGATAACATACCATATTCAACCAGGATAGATTATTGGGAAAAAATATTTTTGAAAATCGAAGGGAAAAAAACATAATTAATATATTGAATTGAATAAGATCAACGTGTATCTCAGGATTATATGGCTTAAAATTAACAATTTTTTTCTTTGGGGGGGGATTTAAACCATAAATTACGATTTTTTCAATTGAGGAATGTGTTGTTTGCATTGGAGAAAAAAAAACATGAATGAATGAATTTGGATTATTTTTTCAAGTTGCTTGTTGTTTATCATCATTGTTTGAAAGTGATTGTGATGATGATGATGATGATGAATAAAGAAGAAAAAAAAATGATTTTTATCAAAAATAGGCTATTCATTCAATTTATTCGTTGTTGTTGTTGTTGTTGTTTCATTTCTGGCTGTTTTAGATGAATGATTGATTAATTGATTGGAAATGAATATTTTCTTTTTTTTTCTTCAAAAATATCCTGGATGTTCCATAAGTGAATAATATTGACCTTTATAAACAACACCTATTTCTCTTAACATATCACCTTTAATAATAGCTTTTATTAGCCAATTATAACAATCAATATTTTCTTTATCTCTTTCCAATTTATCAATATCAATAATTTTTGATTTTAAACGTTCCAATATAATACCAATATCTTTAATTGAAAGATGTTTTTTATGATTAGCTGATAATTGATCAACTAACATTAGATAACGTTCACAGAATTGTTCATCATCATCATCATCACGTTCAGTTGTTGTTGTTGTTTCAGTTTCTGAATCACTTGAACAACTACTACTATGTTCATTAACAATATGTCCATTCAATAGACCCATTAACGATATGTTTCGTTTATTAGCATCATTGGTAAATGAATGAATATTTGAATCAATATTTTTATCAGTATCCTTAAAACGTACATGACCTTTTTTGGCCTTCATACAACTAGATTGAGCAACAATATTAGCATCATCAAATTGAGCTGTTGATAAACCTTTATGATCAAATGGTGATGTCGCCGTTGATGTTGTCATTGTAGTGGCGATAGTGGTCGTATTGATGGTGGTCACAATCGGTGAAATGATTCGATTCAAATCAAGTATTGGTGAAGTTCCTACTGATTTGCTAACTTTGATTGAGCCACCATCACGATGTAATGATGAACAATGAAAATCACAATAAGAAGTGAGATCATGAGCTGAACTGAAATCATCAATCGCTCGATCGATGTAAGAAAAATCATCGGCAGATAATGTTTTATATGGCAGTGCTGATCGATAGGCTTCTAGACTATTTATATTTCGGACACCTCTCAGGTATGTTTCATATGATTTAGCACGACTAGAGCTAGGTCGTGGAAATGTTGAGCTATAAATTTTATCGCCAAATTGAGCTGCAAATGAAGGCTGTGAAGAAGACATTTTCCAGGAAGGTGGCTCTTCAAAATCGGTTAAATATTTAAATTTATTATCATGTTCCCATTGTAATGTGACAGTAATAAATCCTTGATCATCTTTAATCGACCAGGCTGGTGATTTATTGGCTAGTTTTAATGAATTTATAGTATCACAAACAATCTGAGGAATAGCTGATAATGCTATTCAGGAAAAGCAAAAAAAAAATTAAATTAAATTAATTAATTTGAACAAATGAATTTACCCGATTTTAATGCATCCATTCCGGGTGGTGACCAATTTTCATTATCACGTAATAATAAAAATACGGTATCATTTTCGGTTGATTGAAAATATAAATCATCTTCAATTTCTGTACCATCCTGTTCAAATACAACACGTAAATAATGATAATTTTCATAGCCCAATTTTTCAGCTCCACGTATTTTGAATTCATTTAGATTCGAGGCAGTTATTGATTTACGTTTTTGTCGATCGGATGACCAAACTTTATATGGTCTTGGTTGATTTGAATGCTAATCAATCATATTTTTTAAAAAAATGATAAATTAAAATTAAAATTGATTGAAATAAATTGATTGAAATATCATTTTGAGATTAACTAAATATATTTATTACGACTAACTAACTCTATTGATTTGATTACCGATCGAGACATGGCAGTAAAATATCGATATTGTACAATCGATATTTTTTATTATACATAGCTTCGAATGTTTGGTTATTTAGATTAACATTTTTTCTTTTCTTTCAATCGTTCAAAATAATCTCATAATGAATTGATTGATTTTGGCAGTATCGATGGGCAAAAAAAAATTTGATTAACCGGAAGAAAATGGAATTTCACAATTTAAAAAAATTGTTGTTGATCAAATCGATGATAACATAACGATGGCAGTAACGGATTTTAGTATAATTATAACGATAACAACAAGGTTTGTGTGGAATGAAATTTCGTTGTTTTCAATAAAAATTTGATGAATTTTTTCTGTTGTTGATAGGGCTTTTGAAAACAGTTCAAATCAATTCAATGAATATGAAAACAAACGAAAAATTCTTTGTAAATTGATCAAAACAAAACAAACTCACAAAAAATGATGCAAAAAAACAACAAAAAATTATGTAACGACCAAATGGAAGATCATTATTATTATTATTATTATGGTGATGATGATGATTATCAATGAAAGATGTTGTTCATTTCATTTTCATCTATCTTTTTCCCCCATAAATAAATTGATTCTATTATATCATTGTTGTTGTTGTTGTCGTCGTCTGAATTGACCTAAAAAAAGAAAAAATCATTGAATCAAGTTGCCTGTCATTCATTTCGTTTTGCTACTTGCTTACTTACTTTCTCAATGAATGAATTTGTTGTTGGAACATCACTATATGATTGTGGGTATGATAGTCGCAGTCACAGGGGCCAAACAACATAACAGATATCTGGATGTTTTGGAATTTTGTTATATAGTTATCAAGTGAGCGGTATTTTGTTTCTGCTGCATCATTTTTCCCCAAAAACTTTACAATTTTTTTTTCTTTCTTCTGGATCGCTTACAGATGCCGAGGAAACAAAAATTTTCAAGTCAAACAAAAAAATATTTGTCGACTGACTTTAACCAAACCAAACCAAAAAACAAACAAACAACCAAAAGAAATGAGGAAAAAGAAGAAGAAAATAATCTGCATTGATGCGTATGGGCATTCGAATATTTTTTCGAAAAAGAATTTGTTCGAAACAAAAAGTGCGCAAGTCTGATTCGAATATTCTGAAAAAAAGAATATTCCTATATATTTGTGTTTGGTTAAATGCTTTTCGATTTTTTTCTTGTTTTCTCATCACACAAACACTTTATTCGGCATTTTATTTCATTTTCTGTTTTTTTTACCCCACTTTTTGATGAATTAAGAAAAAGAAGAAGAAAAAGAAAACTAGGTCTCGCCGAAAGAAGAATAAGAAAAAATTTTGACTTTTTTTCCGCTTCCATTAATTTCGTCGCCAGCTTGTGTGTCGTTGATCCATTCCATTTGATGGCCAAAAAAATCTACAAGACAAAGCCAATGTGTCCAATTGATTGATTTGTGAAAAAAAATTGATCCCCGAAAAAAAAGAATGATATTTTTTTTAACCTAATAATTTTTTATTGATTGAATCAAGAATTTGTCCATTTGACGGAGGGAAAATACTTAAAAATTTTTTATTTTTTTTCACTATTCGAAAATGCTTCCAGATTATACGATGCAAGTAATGTTTAATGATACTTGCGCATTGTATAGACGACGAAAAAAATTTTCTTGTGATTTCGCTCATCGAATATTTTTGTTTTCTTCATTATTTCAATGATTGGCGACAAGATACATTTGGTGAATTCATTGATTTTCTTAAAAAAATCGCTAAAAGAATGGCCACAGAACAGGTAAGTTCATAAATAAATTAAATAAAATGATTTTTATTAAATTTTTCTTTTTTTTATAATCAACTAAAAGTTGACTGTTGAAAATTCAATTCAAACAAATGTTTTTGATCCAAAACAACAAAATCTGACCGGTGTAAATGGCAATAATGGTTATATTATGATAAGAAAATATTTAATCAATTCAGCTGTAAATTTTCTACAAAATTCTCGTCTAAAATTATCTACCAAAGAAGAAAAACGTACATTTTTATTCGAAAAAGGTCTAACATCAGATGAAATTGATTTTGCATTTGAACTTGCCATACGTAGACCATTGAACGATGAAACAATACAAAAAGAATTGGATAACATCATTTCCAAACAAGATATATCATTAATTAGTTATTCTATTCGTATGTCTGGTCAATTTTTACTTTGGGCCGGATTCATTTATGGTTTCTATGCAATATATCGAGAAAAAATACGTCCATATTTATTTGAAACATTGAAAAATGATCGCCCAGAAGAAAAAATTTCAAAAAAAATTGATGAACTAAATAAACAGATAGCTGATTTAAGTACAAATCTATCAATAGTACATGAATTTATAACAACATATTGTCGATTAAGAGATGATTCATCACAGAAAATTAAATCCGAATTATCATCAATAAAAGCTTTATTGGTTAATCGTAATCAATTTCCATCAATACCAACCATTCCTAAATGGCAACAACAATCGATTATAAATGATAAAAATGAAATGGCTAATAATTCAGAATAATTGTTATTATTTTTTTAAAATTTTTTATTACCAAAAAATATAATATAAAAAATAAATGTTATTTACAAATTGTTTTTTTAAAATCATCATCATGATTAAACTGGATATCAAAAAATTATTATGTTTGAATTTGATATGTACAAAAATGAAAGTATTCAGATCAAGCCAAAAAGAAGGATAAAGAATGGAAAAAAAGATTGACATTTGACATTTGACATTTGACATTTGACATTTAGCATTGTTGTTGTTGTTGAAGTAAATGTTTCATTTGTTGACATGTTTGTTGTTTGTTGAATGGAAATTGTTGTTTGATTAATGTTTGACAGGCAAAAATTAACATACAAATAAAAATAATTGCCAATGAAATGAATGTTAATGCAAGGATTGGATTTTCTTTCAATTGTTTCCATTGTTGACAATTATGGTTATCAAATTTTGATTCCGATTTAATTTCAATAAAACCATTATTTGTTATGGATTTTGGTTGACCATTTCGAGCAAATTCAGAAAATAATTCAATCATTTGTTTCGATATTTGTTGATCATTTTCATTTGATATGTATGGATTTTTAAATGCCAAACCAAATGCCAACAGAACATCATCACCATGAATGGATGAATTAATGAATTCCGGTGCAATTGAAAATGATGGTTTATAATCAACTTTATAACGATAAATATTTCTTAAACGATAATTTTTATCATAATAAATACGTTGTTGTAAAATATTTTGATATTCTTGCATATGTGAATCGATTAATAATTCTGAACAAAATTTTACATAATTATCACGATTATTGATTACATTGGCTCGATAATTATTAACATGATAATCATCACCATAAAACATTTGTAAATCTTCATGAATAATTCGTTCAAATTCCTGTTGGCTAATATTGTTTTGAATAAGTTTTCCATAAAATGATTCATCCATGGCTAAATGTTTGATTAGGCAAAGATTTCCTTCGAATTGATTCGTTCCTAACATTATACTTTGAATATTTTTAGCGAATTTTCCTTTTCGTACAGCATCCAATGGTTTATCTTCAATCAGATCTGTATCAATAAATGGTTTCCAACCATAACCACTTGTATCCAAAATTTGTTTTGCTGATATTATTTTCATACAATCAATATTATTACAACCTTGATTGGATAAAAATTGTTCAATTTTATCATCATGTTTATTGTCGAAAACCCAATTACCAACAGCAATACCGCTCATTAAAATTGCACGATTAAATAATGATGATTGTTGTTGTTCGATAACATATTTTGAACTTAATAATATTGAAATTGACATTGAACCAGAAAATCTTCCAAACACAGTTATATCGTTAACATTACCACCAAATTCACCAATATTTTGTTTGATCCATTTCAATGCCATTAATTGATCCCAAATACCGGCATTATTTTTTAGAAAACCAAATACACCAACACGATATTGTACAGTGATGACAATAACTTTACCAATCGATGCTAAATAACTACCATCAAATTGTCTTGCATCAGCAAAATCATAACCTTCACCTGGTATCCATACCATTACTGGTAATGGTAAATCTTTTTGTTCAACAATCGGTACATAGATATTCAGGTAAAGACAATCTTCGGAAATCTGTTTTTTTTAATCAAAAAATCAATGAAATCAATTCAAGCATTTTATCCAATATTCAAATAAATACTTACATTATGAATTTCATCCAAATCAAGTAATGGATTAATTGTTTTAGCCAAATGTTTCATTTGCATACAGGTTGGTTTCAATTGTTTGGCCAATAATAATTGTTCACTGGAATTTGTTGATAATTCTTTTGGTTTTTCAAATCGATTCTCACCAATTGGTGGTTGTGCATATGGTATACCGAAAAATTGATAAATTTCACCATCGCCATTATGAATTAAAGTTTTCTGTCCAATCAAACGACCAGATGTTGTCGATACAATAGGATTCATTTGAATTGAATCAGCACCAGCACCAGTGACCATTATAATCAATGGACAAAGTCCAAATAAAAGTCGTATAAATAATGATTCCATAATCATTGAATGTTTCAATAGTTTTAAAAGTTTTGAAGAAGAGAGAGTGTTTCAAGTTTGTAAGTTTGTAGGTTTGTTTGTTGTCGAAAGTCGAATGATTTTGGTCCGAATTTCGGACCATCTTTATATACCAGTCGATCATCATGCATCCAATGATCTCACTGACACTGAAATCATTCAGTTCTTGTTAATTGCATCTTAACATTGAAATTGAATGAAAAGAAAAAAAAGAAAAAATTGTGGCGCCCATTCAATAATAAAGCCAATGAACAAAGTAGGAGTGTACAATTTTTAGTTTTCGGTTAACGAATCAAAACTGAATAAATTTATCATTTGATTGAACATTCGATTTCACTTTTATTGAACATGGATGCACCATTTCTTTTTTTTACGTCAAACACACACATCCAATCTCATGATTTTATTTTTTCCTTTTCAAAAATCTAGTCTGATGATGAAATGATAATTTGATAATAAACAAGTTGATTGACCTGTTTTCTTGTTGATCATCATGGTAGTTGATGATGGTGGTTGCTTGAATTTCGCTTTCGTACATTTGTTTTTCACTTTCATCATTATCGCAATATATTTTTGCTGACATCATCAAGAAAAGAAGATAGTGATCTTTCTCTTCTCTCTCATTGTCAAGGTGAATTTTTAAATTTTCTAAATTGATTTATTGATTTGTTTTTCTGTATTCGGTCATGTTTTTTTTATGTTAACCATCAATTCTACCAGAGGGGTTTCTTGTTATTTTTGTTTTTTTTTTGATGATAAAATTGACAACAACAACAAGGGATATGTTTGTTACATCCGACAAAACAAAACAAACAAACAAAAAAAAGGAAATTTTGGTTTAAATTCAAGTTCAAATTGAATTGCTTGATATACGGACATATCCATTCTATTTACACACACGTGTGATCCACATGTTATCTTGGTAACCTTTTATGATGATGATGATGAATAACCTTAGGTCATTCATCAAGGTTGATTGAAACTTAAAAGACGATGGATTTCTTGGAAAAAAAACGAACAAAACGAAAATAAACGAACATTCTTTACCTGGAGGGAAAATAACATAACAACAAGAATAATTTGAAAAGTTCAAATCCAGTTTCGTAGTTAATAGAATAAGATTCTTATTACGAATGACGACGACCCTATGGAGAGTTCAACGTACGTCCCAATCAATTTGTTTTTTTTTTTTTTTTTTTTTTTTTTTTAATTAGAAAAAAGGGAAATTTTTTTTTTTTGTTTTTTTCAACNATGATGATGATGAATAACCTTAGGTCATTCATCAAGGTTGATTGAAACTTAAAAGACGATTCGGATTTCTTGGAAAAAAACGAAAATAAACAACATTCTTTACCTGGAGGGAAAACAACAACAACAATAATAATAATAATTTGAATTTTGAAAAGTTCAAATCCAGTTTCGTAGTTAATAGAATAAGATTCTTATTTCGAATGACGACGACCCTATGGAGAGTTCAACGTACGTCCCAATCAATTTTTTTTTTTTTTTTTTTGCTTTTTCTTTTCAATTAGAAAAAAGTGAAATTTTCTGTTTTTGTTTTTGTCAACACTTGCAGGTAACAAAAAAAAAGTGAATAAACCTTTGGTACAATCAACTTTTCAATTTATCAGCCAAAAAATATATTTTTTGGGTAAACACTGTGTGTGTGTGCGTATGTGTATCGAAAATGATGTGTGTTTGATTTGGTTGGTTGTTTGAAAATGCTTTTGTTTTATCAATTGCAATTTTGAACGGACAATCTTTTTTCGTTTTCGTTTTCGTCTTTGGTTTTGTTGCAGTTTTAACCAGATTCAAGCGGAATTTACCAAAGAAATGATTATAATATTATCACAGCAAATAACCTTGTGTGTTTAACATAAACAACTGACACTGGTTAAGAATCTTGAATTTTTGTTTTGTTTGAGGGAGAGAGAGAGAGAGGCCCGAATATTTTATCATCCCAATGATAATGGTGATGGCCTAATTCAATTTTGTCAAAAAAAAAGCTATCAGAAAATGACTGAATCAAATGAAAAAAGCCAAAAACAAACAAACAAATGGTTTTTTGGTTGAATTTGCAAACGATTGGATTGCAAACACACTGACGTAATACCAATCAGTAAAAATTTGAAGATTTTATCAAAGATTCGCTTTGCTTTGCTTTGAAAAACAACAAGATCATTAATGATCACCGATTATGATGATGATGACACTGAGTTGAACGGAGAGTTACCCTCCAAAAATGGAAAAAAAAGAAAGGATTAAAAAATTCTTTACAACAACAACAACAACATCGTGATTGATGACCAAATCGTGCATCAGAGAAAAAAAAACTTTCACTAAGCAAAGCTTTCCTTTCGTTTTTTGTTGTTGATTCCTTTAGGCTATTTGGATTTATTTTTCTGTCAGATAATGCTTCACACGAAAAAAAGATGTACTTTTTCTTTCAAATGGCCATTTAAACCATATCATACCTGTAGATCTGATTTATTCAAACATTTCGTTAATAAAATCTGAATTGAAAACAACAAGATGACCGATGCTTATGCTTATGATGAAATTGTCCTTGAAAAAAATGAAAGGGTGAATGTTCCAATGTTGGTTGTTGAACGGTAAAGATTGATTGCTAAAAATTTCATACTTGTTTTTCTTCTTGTTGTTGTTGTTTATCCATTTTATTTTTGAGAAAGTAAAAAAAAACTTAGCAAACGAACGATCAACTCTGAACTTATAGTGTGTGTGTGGATGAACCTGAAACACACATGAAAATATTTCACCATGATTGCGTCATGTTTTGAACTTGATCTGTTTCATTTCATTTGATTTCCAATTTCCAATTGATGAATTTTTTTTGTTCAATAAAAATTTCATTTTTACAAGCAAGAAGAAAGAATCATAAAGAAATTTTCATCTAATAGATTGACCTTGTATGTCGGTTTAACCTGCAAAAAAACAGTAAAAACAGAAAGAAAAAGAAAGAAAATCTTGTGAAGACTTTGAATTCAAATCAAATTGATAAAATTTAAACGATGATTATCTGCAAATTATCCACGAAAAAAAAAACTTTTTTTTTTCTTTCGTTGATAATTTCCGATTGATTTTTTTTTTGTTTATTTTCTTTGTTGTTCAATAGATGCTTGCGTGTTATGTGTACATTTTCAATATCGAATCAAATCGAATCGAATCAAAAATGAAAACTCTTTCTTCCAAACACACACACAACTTAATCTTTTTGTAGATTAAAAATTTGTCCTATATATTCTAACCTTGCTGTGTGGTTGTTGTTTATTTGGAAAAAAGCATATTTTTTTCCATTCATCCGAAAATCAATATCAAAAAATTTGATTAGTTATCAAATGGTTCGATCTTGATCATTTGATCATTTGATTTTTCACTTTTTTTTCTTTCTTCCGAACATAATCACTAACAAAATAGTGCCATTTTTTTTTCTTCTTCTTTTCATCGATTATATCTTCAAAATCAGATAATTTTTTTGGGTTAATGAACTGTTATTTTTTTCGGAATGGAATGTTTTTTTCCCCTTGTTTTTGTCAATTTAATTGAAAAAAACAAACAACATTTGATCTTTGATTGATCTTATTGATCTAATCGATTTGATTGATTTTCTATGGAAAAAATATGATTATTAAGCAATTTTTTGTTTCATTTATTATTTAAATAATCGATTGGAAAATTTTGTTTACAAAAAAAAAACTGATTTTGGCTAATTATCAAATATTTAATCAGGGGGAACAAACAAAATTTTTTTTTTTTGACACTTTTGAGATTGAAATGATTGGGTTTGGTTGGCTGGTTGGTTGGTTATTTGGTTGGTTGGTTATTTGGTAATGATTTTCTTCATGACAAATGTTAAAGAAGGAAAGAAAAAGGAAAATAATAATGTCAATGTCGTATGTGGATGATAGTAGGATTTCGGTACAATCAAGGCTATATTGAAATGAAATGAATGGTTGGCATAGATTGCGATTTTTCCTGACCTTGATTGATTCCAGCTAATCAATATAGCGATTTTTTTTTTGTTTGCTGAATTTGATTAAAATTATCATCATTGTCGTTGTTTTTTTTTCTGGCAAAAAAAAAGATAAAACGATCAATGCAACGATCATAAGATCATTTTTGAATTTTGATTTTTTTTGTTTTGAAAAAATAAAATTTTTCAATACAGTCGTCGATAGATGGCGTTGCTATTCGAGTTTTTTTTTTGTTGATTACTTAGATTTTTGTTGTTGTTGTTGTTGTCGATTCTAATAGATCTTTGATGAGAAAACTTTTTTTCTTCTTGATTTTTGCCTGTTTTGAACAATAAATATTATTTTGGAATCGATTTTTCATTAAAATATTGTTGTCTCTTTTTGTTGGCAATTTTTGTTGTTGGTGATTAGAATTCATATACAGCCAATTGATCCATTGATTTTGCCAATTCAATTCATGATTTGTTTGATTATTTGATTGATTTCGTAATATTCGATTGATTGATGAAATACTTGGCAGATTTTCACCGGAACAAATTTGTTCATTCAAAAGTTTTTCACGTATTTCCCATGCATACAGTGAATTGTTTTCCATTTTATATTCGTTGATTTTTTTCGTTACCAATGGTGTTGATACTCGTGGTTTACTTCCACCTGGTTTTTTTTAAAGAAAAATGATTAAAATGAAATCAATCAATCAATTATTGATCGAACCTATTGTACCGGGTAATATTGAACCAGTTTTATTGAATTTAGCCAATATTTTACTAACACAACCATGTGATATTAATAATCGACGTGATATATCACAAGGACGATATCCTTTCAATGACATGGCTAATATTTTCAAACGAGAATCAAATGATAATGGTTTACCATTGCTAAATGAACCACCTAATTGATTAGTACTGATGTTCATCATCATTGTCATCATTTCATTATGATTATTATGATTTGAAGTTTTGATCCATTCACACCAAGCATTATTTGCATTGTTTTTTGCAAAACATTCATGATGATCGAATGACATGATGATTGTCCGATGATAATATTGTTCGATCGGATTCATAATGACGACTGACCAAAATCTGAACAATATCTGGTGTATCATTTAAATACTAGGTGCGAACCAAACAAACAGAACCAAAAACAAACCGTGAGAATGGAACAGGTGACCATTGTGGCATTATTATTATGATTACATTAACCGTACATCGGATATAATAAAACAGATTTATTGAGCCAAATCATTTGGTTCAATAAATTTTCCCGTTTTCCATATAGACTCTACATAGACATTTTCTTATTGAACAACAACAACAATCAAATCCAATTCTGATTATAAATAACCGCTGATCTGATGCAAAAACAAAAAAAAAACATCAATTTTCCTGATTATGGCCATATTATGACCATTTGTAGAATACAAATGAAACAAAAGTAAAGTTTTTTTAGTTTGACAATCAATAAACACAAATCAATATGACAATTTCTATTTTGTTTTTCTTATGTATCTATTTTTCCCAATAAATACATCCGATTATTTTTCATCCTGATTACAATAACAAACTGTGTAATAAAAATATCCACAATAATAGATATATTCATGCAAAAGTTTACGTTCGATGAATTCGATAAACAAAACGTTAAGCAGGTTCACGAATCAATTTCCGACAATATTGTTTCTCGAAACACCACACACACACACACAGAATAAATTCTGATTCTTTCTCTTTTCAGTCATCATTCTGGTTTTGTTTAAATCTCTGAAGAATTTATTCAATTTTTTTTTTTGTTTCAAATTTTACATTTTAATAAAATGAATGAATGGCAATATTTGTTGTTTTTTTTCCAGAAAAATATGAGCATGAAAACTTGATTTTGGAAAAAAAAAATAAATTCTTATTTACAACAGTGAAACCCAAGGATAAATTTTTTTTAAAAGGGGAAAAAACAACCAAAAAAAAGTATGTGTGTGTGTGTGAAAGTGACCAATAAAAATATATTATCAAGGTGTATACGCCTGTTTTGTGAGTGTGCGAATATATTGTGTGGCGCCATTTTAACAATAAAGGTATTGTGATGATGATGATGATGAGGAATGATGAAGGTGATGATCACAAATTGAAGAAAAAAAAAATCTAATGATACATGTCTACTATAGTATTGTGGTGTTGTTTATATATTTAAAAAAAGCCAAAGGAAATGTGAATTTAGTTGAAACAAAACAGAACAAAAAAGGTGGGTTTTGATTTGAAAAAAAAATTTGAAATCCAAGGCAGCAAATTAATGATGATGATGATGTAATTGAAAAAAATAATGATGGTAGGAAGTAGTTTTTTGTTAAATGTCTGTATGTTTGAATTGAAATTATATTTGGTTATTTAGCCTAATTAATTTGTAATAAAAATTAATGATGAAATTAATGATTTTTTTTTTTAAAAAAGTAACAAACATCCATTTTTAAACAAAATAAATATCCATTATAAATGAACGAAATTGAATTGAATTGAATAATCTAATTTGTTTTTTGGGTTGAAAAACAGAACAAGCAAAATTTCCTATCCACGAACAAGAATATTTTTAGTACCAACAACATCAGCCAATTGTCTTGAATGAAATATAACGATAATATTTCTTGAACCAGGACGATCCGGTATTAATCGAATTGTATTTGTAATAGTTTCACCGGGCATTATATTTCTAGAATTAATTCTCATTTGTCGTTTTAATCCAGGTCCTTCGACTGAAAACCAACAATCTTCAAGTATACGACGTATTGGATTTGTTAAACGAATTTCTAATGTAAATTCACGACCAACTTCAATAAATCCTCTTGTATATAATTCCATATGTGGTTTATCAATAGAAAAATCATCTTCTTCTGACCATGTTTGTTGTGTTTCTTTTACAGTAGCAACAGCATAAACTTTTATCAATGAATAATCAACAAGATTATCAAGATATTCTTCTGGATTTACTCGAACTCTTAATACTTCCTCTGTGAATGATAATAATAATAATAATTGAAATTAAATGAAATGAGATAAAAAATATTTGAAGAAAAAAAATATTACTTTGATATGGTTTTAATCGGACAATGTGTCGTTCATTTTTAATCTTTTTGGCCAATATACCGTTCGGGAAAAAACTATTAGCATTCAATGATAATGTAATTGTACGTTGACTTCCAACACGATTAGCCATTTCAACTTGTATGAAAAAAGGATTGCCCACAACAACTTTTTCGATGTCTAACAAATCAAATTCGACCTCTTCTTTACCTGGAGCAGGGATTTCAAACAGGAAAGATAGGCCAGCACCTATAGACATAGACATAGACGAAAAGAAATAGAAAAAAAAATGATTTTGAAATCAATTTTTTTAATTAATTCAAATCAAATCAAAACAAAAACATACCTCTAGCCGCATTCAATACAGCCATTCGTTCTTCTTCTGTTCCTTCTTTGAATTTATAAATATCGGTAATGTCTTCAGCATCATTGATGCCATTATATTCGGCTTCCACACCTGCTCTTTTTGTAAATAATTTTCGACCAACACTGTGTTCAGTGAATAAATAAATTATTCAATGAAACAAAAAAACAAATGAAAAACTTACTGATATCGATTTGTTTTAATTTTTTTCCAACCAAGTTCACTTGATTCATCCAATTGCCAATGAACAACATCCGAATTAACTTCAGCAAAAACAAATGCAACATCATATGGTAGGCCAACTTCACCACGTTTTATTGCTTCCACTGATGCTGGTCCCATTTGATAAAGTCCACTAGCATCACTTGATTCTTGTGGTGTTGCATCGATTACTTGCCAACCACCATAACCAGGTGGTAAATCCGGTCTATGAATTTCAATTGGATTAATCAGAAAAAAAACTTTGAAAAAAATCAAATCAAATTTTACCTTGACATCCATACATCAGTCCAAACATGAAAATTCCAAATCGAATCAGAATTAACATCGGAAATAGGTTCACCAGTTTTACTAAAAAATTTATCCACAGTTAAACTATCATCAGTATCATGAGCTGAAACAAAATTCGTAATTGTACGTGCCGGTATTCCTAACGTTCGAGACATTGTTGTTGTTGAACCAGCAAATACCCAACATTGACCAAATTTTATTGGTTCACCATTTGAACGAAGATATTGTTCAAAAATTGGTGCACTACCAGTCCATTGCCATGGTGCATTACCATCATGATAATTACCGGACCAATTACCAACTAAAAGACCATTATCATCATGACTATTGACTAATGCAGCAACTGCACGTACAACTTTTGCCGGATTTGAACGTGCCGAATAATCTAAACGTGATTTATCCAATAAAAATACAGCAGCAGGTAGTACAGATTCTTCAAACTGTGAATGTTAATTGAATAGAAAAATTTCCAAAATTAAAAGTTTTTAATATTTTCAATTAAAATAATCATTATTTATTCATCAAAATTACCTGACCATAAACCCATTGTCTACCTTTTGGTTTTGAATGTGAACCAATATAAATTTTACCAATATCATTTAGAATATATTCTTGACGACGAATTTCATCAGCTAAATAAACAGTGTCATCTAGTGGTGGAAGAAAAAAAATTACAAATTTAAAGAAAAAATTACAAACAAATCAAACCAAACAAACCTTTATTCCATGGATTGAATAGTAAAAAAATTTTATTATGAACTTCAAATGTTTTAATATTTCTTGAACCTTGTGGTTTGGTTGATATTCTTAAACGCCATATACCAACAGCTGTATTAGCTGGTATACGTACTTGTAGCGTTAAACGATTACCATCAATATTACGTATACGTGCATCCCATTTACTTGGATCTTTTGTAAAATCTTTATTCTGTGTTATTGGCAAATATATTAATGTACCTTTGCCAACTTGTGGATTATTACCTATACAAAAATAGAGAAAAAATTCATTATTAAAAAAACAAACGAAAAAAATTGGATGTTGTAATCAAAATGAATGAATGAAGGAAAATGAAATGAAAACATTTATCCCTTATTGATTGATTAATTAATCAAAATGAATGAAATGACTATAAATCAATTTTTCATTAAAAACCACCACTGAAATACGCCTTAAAATAAACACACACACACACATAGACACACACCAAATAACCGATTAATCGATTCAAAATAATCAACATTAAAAATATTGATTGATTGATTGAAAATAGATTTTTTGGTTTTGTCTAATTCATCAATCAGTTTTTTGCTACTGTTGTTAATTTCATTTCATTGTCCATTGTGTCCATTGGATCATTGATCGATTTTTTCACTGTTCAGGTCCCCGAAAAATGATAATTGGAAACAACGATAATAATAATCACTACGCAAAATGCCAATTTTTCTTTCCATTCTTTCCATTTGTTTGACGCTAATTATATTTGAATTGAATTGAATAAAATGAAATGAAATGAATGAAGAAACTGACTATGGTAATTGGAATCAAAATGAAATTTAAAAAAAATGAAATGAAAAAAATAATTACGATGATCACATCAAATTAAAATCAAATTAGCTTTATATGTGTGTTTCTCTTCTTTACAATCTCTCATTGTTTTGTTGTTTGTTGTTGAATATGTGTGTATATTGAAAACAAAAAACAATGAAAAAAAAAACTTTACACAGATACTTTTGGCCATATCTGCGTTGAAGCGTGATTATTATCACCATCATCCTAATGATGATGATCATCAAACGAATGATTTTTCTGTTTTTTGTTTTCCACTAAATATAATGAGAATAGCATCAGAATACCTGATGGTGATCATCATCGAATCGAATGACCAATGACAATGTCAAAAGAATCATTGTTTTTGTTTCAGTGGATGATACAGCAACGATAATAATAATTAGTGGGGGAAAAACAAATGTGTTTTTACAAGGATAAAAAGGGTTAAATTATTGACTTTTCTTTCCGTTTGTTTACTGACATTGAAATGAGATGAATGAATGAATGGGGGGAAGGGGAAAAAACAAACAAAAACAAACTTACCAAATAAAAATTCCAAACGAATTTTATTATTATCTTGATCATAAACATTACGTAGTTGGATGGCCAAATAAAATGGATCACCACGTCGTATAACCAATGCCGGGTTATTTTTTTCCAATAATTCATATTTATATGTATGATGTTCTTTTGCATTATCACGTTGAAATAATTCAACACCGATTACATCGTTTGGTACCGGTCCTATGTGTGTTTATTCAATCAAAAAAACAAACAAAAAATTATTATTAAACAGTTCTTTCCTGCAAAATAAAACAAAATAGAAAATATCATCGAACAAACAAACTAGGCCGAAGAAACTTTCTGAAATGCAAAATACAGTATTCAAAATTCAAGATTATCCAATCTATTTTATCAATGTCATCCATAATGGATTTTCCTTATTTTTTTCTTTTCTTTACAAAATCATCATCATTATCAACTTCAAATACCTAATGAGTTTTTTTTTTGTTTTCCTGAAATGAATGTCGAATGTAACAAAAAATTAATAATTAATTTTTTTTTTGTTGTTGGAATAATCGAGGTCGAGTATTAGCCTCTTCGATGGATTTTTGTTCGTTGATAATCCACACACACAGACACATAACATGTCGGTGTAGGTCAAATCATTAGCCATAATAATGATGATATATTACGGATGATGTTCATAAGTTTTTGTTTTGTTTTATTATTCAACCAAACAAACAAACAAACAGCTGAAAAACATCCCATATATACTTTCATACATTTTTTTTCGTTTCCAAAAGACGAGTGCAACAAGTGTTAAATATTTTTTTTTTTTTTTGTTTCTCCAAAATAAGGATGTTTTTCGCTTCGTTTGATTGATTGATTTTTATCAACTAATTGTTGCCTAATAGATTAGGTTGGAAGAAGCTGTACACATCCATCATATGTCAAATGGATCGATAATTTAAAAAGAAAATTTTCAAAATGGAAAAAATGTTTCGGAAAAAAACATTCAATAAATATCATATAACAGCAGCAGCAGCAGTCAACTATCATCATTTTGATTGATCAATTAATGAAAAAGAAGAAGTTTTTCATTTGGAAAAATCTTTTTTGCTGTTTTTTGTTTTTTTATTTTAGCATCCATCAAGATACATTTTTCTTTGTTTGTTTCATCAACAATCTCGCTAATTTCCCATCCAAAAACTTTTACTTTCGCTTTGTGGTTCCAGCAATTTTTTCTTTTCCTAGATTTCTAGATTTTTCCATTTGTTTTCATTTGTCAAAGATGGTCATTTTTGGTTATCGTCATTTTTGTTTGCTTGCAATGAATGAGAATATCCCCTTCGTTTCTCACACGTATGCAATGTGTGTGTGTGTTGGTGGGAAAATTATGTCACCAAACAACTCCTATACAAAAAAAAAACTTTGACATCCAAGAATGGCTTGTTGCTGTTGTCGTAGTTTTCCAATGTTCCAAATTTGTCACATCAGAAAAAAAAAAGAAAAACCATTTACAACAATCGTCATCATCATCAACAACTGTAGAAGAAAAATATGGACAGGACAAACTTGCCTGTATGAAAATGTAAAAAACAACAACATTCAGCAACGAAATTGGTCAATTTTTTAACCCAAAAAATTTTTTTTCAACTCTTTTTTTTCATTTGATAAACGAAGAGATGTTGTTTACTACTACTACTATTGCTAATTCATTCAACAATAATCAATCGAAAACATTTTTGACAAACAAACAAATATTTGGCCATCGTCAAACAAACAAACATCGGTAACAAATCAAATCAAACAAATAAAACATCAGGTCATTCAGGTTGCTTTCACTTTTTTTTTTCGTTCGTTGTCGTTATCGTTAACTGACTCGCTATTTTATCGATATGGCAATCGATTGTCCATCTTGATTTTGTTTGTTTGTTTGTTTGTTTGATTGAAACAATTTTAATTGAACCTAACAACAACAAACAACAACAACAAACACACACTTGACTTTTTATGATTGCTGCTTCAGTTATTGGTGTTTTGCAAGAAGTTTTCTGTTTTGTTTTGTTTTTCACTAAAAACTTAAACATCTCGTTTTCCTATTTAGACCCAAATCACAACAAACAATGTCCAAATAGCATCCAAACAAACAAAACAAAAATTCTTTTTCCCTATTTTGTTTTGTTTTGTTTGTTTCGTAATTTCATTTTATTTTGTTTGTTTCCGCTTGAAAGCGAAAATTGGCAACAGAAAAACAAAATTACATCAAGGAAACAAACAACATCCAAAAAATTTAATAACAAATTTAACCCTGAGTGAGTGAGTGAGTGAAATGTGTGAGAGAGTCTCATCATTATATCATCATATGAGTGAATGATGCAACATGTATCATTTTTTTGTTTGTTGATCAAATCAAATATTCGACCACAACAAATGATGAATTCAAATTGAATTGAAAAAGAAAAGTAAAATTGACGACAAAAATTGATAAATCTAAATCTAAATAAATAACAACACCTTCAAGGTAAATGAAATTATATTTTTTAAAAAATACATTTTTTTCTGGAAGAGAAAAATATATATTTCAACATCATCTTGTTCATCATATACCTATTTAAAGTCATTGATGTTTTCGAGAAAAAATAAAAAATTTCAAATTTTTCAAAATTTTGCAAAATTCAACAGTTGGGTTAGGTTAGGTTGAAATGGACAGCAACAACAATAAAAAAAATTTATTATTCGATTCACTCATGCGCACAATACGCGTGTGCATCATAAAACAATGACAAGCTCATTATCAATCAATCAAAAAAAAATTACTAAGCAAAACAAAAAAAAAACTTTTCAAATGGATCAAGGTCAACACACCTATGCACATTCTTCTTTAACTCTTTTTTTTTATTGTTGTTCAAATTTTTCTAATTGCTGAATGATAATGAAAAGCAAAAAAGAAGAGAAAACAAAGCAAAAAAAATCTTACCTGAAGATCCTTGTAAAAATTCTTTATGAAACAATGGATAATGTGGATAACGATATGGCACACGTAATGATTGACTTGTATCGATTGATAATGATAATATTATTATGAATGTAATTAATAAATTTAATAAAATTTTATTGAATAATGGCGATAACGGTGACGATGATGATGATGACCATTTTGATAATTTTAACACAGATTTGTTATTTTGGATCAACAACGACGACGACGATTGATGACAACAACAACAGCAAATATCATCATCATCATGATCATCACCAATGACATTTTTGTCGATAAAATTATTATTATTATTCACATAACGTAATGGTGATGGTTGATAATTTTGTTGTTGTTGTTGTTGATTATTATGGCTGACTAGATGACAACAACAACAACAACAATATGTTGTTTGTTTTTCCGGTTTATTATTATTATTATTTAATAATGATGAAGAAAATGGACTAATTTTTTGCTGTTGTTTATGTTGATGATGATTTATGTGACAATTGAGAATCGACGACGGATGATGATGATGTGGTTGATGTTGATGTTGATGTTGATGATGATGTGACAAGATGTTTTCATCATCATCATCATCATCATTTTGGCATTTTGTTGTTATAATAATTTGTTGTTGTTGTTGTTGTTGTTGATTATTTGAATGTGATGATGATGAATCGTGATTGTCATGATCATCATCAACATTAACATTCAAAGGATTGTGCTGTTGTTGCTGTTGTTGTTGATGATGATGGCCATCAAAATTATCATCATCGAAGGTGGCCATCGACAATGATGACGACATTATGATTGGAATTCTGTTTTCGTAATTGGATAACATTTAAACAACAAAATTTTCTTGTTTGGTTTGTTTTGTTTTGTTTTGCTTTGTTCTTCTTCCTCTTGCTGAATCCGAAAGTAAAAAAATAAAAATCGATTTCACAGATTCGGTTGAAAGAGAGAGAAAAAATGTGGCCAAAAGTTTTTCACGGATAAAGATTATTATTATTATCGAATAAAACAGTCAGTTTTTTTTGTTTGCAGTTTTGTCAGGTCAATGTTATTGATGTAATGATGATGATGATTACCGATTAATAATCGATTTTTGTTTCATTCATTCTGCCCCGGAGATGATCATAGCCTAATGTGATAAAGTGTTAACAACAAGCCAAATACACAATCATCAACAACAGGTGTCAAAAAAAAAAATCCGAGTAATTTTCAATCATTCAAAATTAGGGTTTCTTTTTCAGGGAAATTTCTTTCTTGGAAATATTTCCGGTACTACTTAATCAATTTGCTTTAATGATGTAATTAATAATAGGTGGAGTGAAAAAAATCCACTAATAACGTTTGATAATGGCAATGGACATTTGTCGAATCAATGTAATGAAAAAAAGGAAAAAATGAAGAAAAATGAAGTTTCTGAGCTTCTTTAAATGAAGAAAAACAAGGGAGAACGAAAAATCAAATCAAAAAAAGATCAATGGCAGCATTTTGTTGTTGTTAATGGTAGAGGAGAAAAGTAAAAGTTTTGTGTAAAAAGATTACATAATTACAGAAAGCTAATCACTAATGGAATTTCTCTTTGCTTTTTTGCTTATTTGATGGATGGAATGAATTGAATGCATTGATGGATTAAGATTTTTAAATAATAATAATAATAATTTGATATTGTCAATCAAACACACACAGACACACATGGACACAAACACCAACAAACAAATCGATATTTATTGACAATGATGGCTGATGGCTGATAGTAATCGCTTTTAATGAAGATTTCTTCCGTTTCGTTTTCGTTTTGATTGAATGTTTTTTTACAACACCCACACACAGAGAGATAATCTTTTATTATTATTTTGACCACACCAATTGAGATCAATCGGAAAAAATTTGAATATTTTTTTGGATTTTTTCTTCTTTATGAGTTCGGGTCAGCGAATGAAAAAAACCCAAAAAAAAAAAACATTGAGGGCAGTTAATGGATGACACTTGTGGGTTAATTGACGAAATGATCACAGATTTTTTTTTCAAATATGATTTGATTTGATTGACCATTGGTCAGTCAGTCAGTCATTAATTTTGTTTTAATTAGGGAAATTCCTTCGTTCGTTCGTTTATCACAATTTTGGCAAGTTTTTTTTTTTGGTATTTTGGCAGCCGTTTTTTCAAATGTCCCAAATTTTTTTTTCTACAATTTTATCATCATCATCATCACAGAAATGAAACCAGGAGAAAAAACATTCAGGATGTTGTCGTTGTCGATGTTAATTTAGAACACAAACATCATAAATATTTATGGCTGGTCGATGGTCAAAAAATACTTTTGTTTGTTTGTTTGTTTCACCCATTCGATTGGTTTGATTGATTGATTTGTGAATCGAAATTTCAATATAATTTATATGAATATTTTTTCGTTGTTGAATGAATCGAGATGTTTGTGTGAGGCGAAAAGAATGAGAGAGAAAAGAAGATTAACATTGGCGGTTGATTTTTGTTTGAAAATTTTCTTTCTTCTTACATTCAATCTCAGACGACAATCCAATCAATCAATCAATCAATGGCTATAGAGAGAGAGAGAGAGAGGGTTTTTCTAATGGTTCAGTAGTGGTTAAAATCAAAGTGATAATCTTCAAGATGAATATTTCAATGATATGTATAGAGTTTGATTTGATACTAAAAAAACAACAACATATCCAAATGAAATTGGATTCGTGTTCGTGTGTGAGGATATTATCATGCCACCACAACCGCAACCACCACCACCACCATCATCATCATGTTTATAACATCAATGACCAGTAGTTTTTGAAGAAAAAAAAAGAAAAAAAAATTCTTCATTGATGAAACACTATGATGAAGAACAAGTCAAAAATTTGTTGATGTTTGTAGGTTGTTAAAACAAACGGATAGTTGCCGTATCTGGCCATAAATCCAACCAACCACACA